TGTTTCTGAACTCTGCCTTCCTTAAGCAAAGCTGTACAACCTTTCTGTGACCCGTGTCACTCCAGCTTGTCACACTTTCCCCTGTCTGGCATCTGTTCTTCAGGGTGAAGTCACACTCAGGCTGAAGTGTAATCCCTGTGTACTTCCTGCCCGTGACACCAGCCTGTCATGCCCAGATTTAGAGGGAAGTCTCTGCATTCACATGCCCTATCCCAAAAAAGAGAGCAAATGAGAGATTAATTTGTCTCTCACCATTGCAGTGCACGTCTCATCATAGGCTGTCAGAAAAGCTCTTCAGTGATTAGTGTGGCTACGTAATCAGTGTCAGAAAGGCAAGAAAACTGTATTGCTTAGAAGTAGTAAATAGCACATGCCCACTCCTGATACGCTGGAGTGCCTTGAAGTTTCCTTTGAAAACAAAAAAAGAATTGGTCTCATGTTAAACAAGAGGCTCTTGATTCTGCTCAACATCCCCATTCCTTTAATAGGTCACTGCCCGGTTGTTAACTGTTCCAGTAAAGCAGAGTCAGTGTCCTGGAATTCCTGGCATGCAGCGCTTTCCTCTGGGCGAGGGGAATGACTGTCAGATGCAGAGTCAGATTCCTGTCAGATTCTGGTGCTGAATGAGCTTGGATTTCTCCAGATTTTTCATAATTATTATTATTATTTTCCTCCTCCCGGTGCTGATGTATATGGGTTTCAGCCGTGAATCAGCAGAGCAAGCTTTAAAGGTCTTTAAAGGCAACATCCACTTGGCTTCCCAGACCCTTGCTCATTACGGGGGAGTTCTTCCTGCCTCCCTGCAGCTCTCCCCGGAGGCCTCCAGCCCATCGGAAGAATCAGCTTCATCAAAAGACTCACCAACAGAGTCTGCAGGTGAGAACGCTGTGTAGAGCAGGCAGAGGGGAGGGGAGGGGGAGGCTGTTCTTCTGGCTCTTGTACAAAACAGCTAAATATTGGTAGAGGGCCTTGAGTAACACCCCAGACTGCTTTTAGTAGTGACATGGTTATAGAAAAGGCATTCATTAGCCCAGAGAAGCTGCAGCCCCTGCAGTCCCTGAGAGCCATGTGTGGAACCACGAGGGATACGCATCAGAGGGACACAGCCCAGAAGGAAGGGGTGACCTCCAGAGGGGTCCTGAGAAGGGTGAAGAGGACATGGCTGCTGAGCAGGCTGTGGCTTTGACACACGAGGCTGGAGGCCGTGGGTGTCTGTGTCACTTCCCCAGTGAGGAACACGTGGCCCTCTCTAGCCCACAAGCAATTCTGGCTTCTCCCGACTAACAGTACCCTCTCACACCAGATCTCTTTAAAAACAAATTAACTGCTCCCTGCCTGTGCTCTTCAGAGAGCAAGTACCCAGTTGCTGGAGCATCTTCCCTGCACCTACCACTGATAATGATGACTTTTTGCCTTGCTGATACCTGGGTTCTGACAGTGAGGAAGTTCACTCCAAACCTCTGCTGTACACTCAGCTGACTTGACCACGTACTCCTTCCTCGCGGCCTTTACGGGGTAGAACTGTAATTGATACTCTCTGTTTAGCAAAGAGGAAACTTGCTCATAGTCTCTCTCTTCCGCTGTTTGTCAGAGCTGTGCTGAGCCCTGTTCTACCACTTGGGGCTTTCTGGCAGCTTTAAATAATAGGAAAAAAATTGCTGTCCTTTGGAGAGAGACATTTGAACCGAGGTAGTTTGAATTCACTGCTGCTTTTCTTTCTTGGAAGGTTCTTCCAGTTCACCCACAGATGAAGACATGGAGACTGATGCAGTCAATGAAATCCTAGAGGATATTCCTGAGCATGAAGAGGATTATCTGGATTTAACACTGGAGGAAGAGGAACAGATCATTCACGAATACTTATCCTATATACAAGTACCGCAGCATTAAATCCCATTACATCTACTTCAGTTATATGTACTTACCTTGACAAATTGAGTTGGGATTATAAATGCACCTTCAGCTTCTCTCTTACTAAATGCCTTGACTTCAGTTCAACTATAGGTGGAACACTTAATTCCTGCTTATTTATAAATCTGCTTAAAGCCTACATTTGTGATACATTGTAATTTATTGTCATAGCAGAAAAATAGAAACATTTATTTTCCGAAGAAAATTTAATAGAACTAAACTATATTTTTATTGTGAAATAAGTTAATTCATTTAGTATTCAAGTAAAGAAGCGTTTCTATGCTACTTTAGAATACCAGCTTTAAAAAAAAAAAAAGTGAGTTTGTAAATCAGAAACCTAGCTCATGGGGTTATAGAGGTATTCACTTACATACATGTCTCGTAGAAATCTTTCAGAAGAAAAGGAGAAGAGTTTGTATCTGTTGTGCATGGATTTCTACTGTGTTCTGCTTGTCCCTTCATGCAGGTGTTACACAGGCAATAAACCTAACTACGTGCTCATTCTGCTCTTACTGAGAGTCTTTCTTCTGTGCTTTGGCTTTAAAAGCCTGTAGGAAAGACCCGGCAGGGCCCTGTCCTCTCAGACCCCAGTGAAAAAAAAGGTATTTCCTTTTATAACCAAATAACCAATTTCCCTGGGCAGCTCCTTGAAACCTCCTGTAGGTGGGTGGCTTAAGACTGATGGATTTCATGGGGACTGAGCTTTTTCGTTCATCAGTTGTTGAACAAATCTTGGCTCAGGCACTGTCTTGTAGTTGTACCCAGCTTCGGTGTTCTGGAGAAATATTTGGGGAGGAGGGAGGGGTTAGTGTGTTTTATAACATCCCCTTCTCTGCTGGGAACAGAAGTTCCCCTGATTGTCAGCTTTTCTTAAAAATCTGTGTATTATTTCCTTGCCATGGCGGCAGTCTGACGGCAGAGGGCGCTCCAGCCCCGTCTGCTCCCGGCGCGGTGGGCGCAGGGGAAGGGGCAGAGATCCCAGCTCGGAGACCCCAGCCCAGAGATCCCAGCTCGGAGACCCCAGCCCAGAGCTAGGCTCCGCCGCCGCCGGAGAGGGGACCTTCCCTCTGGAGACCCAGCACGTACCATGGGGAATTTGGGCTTCAACTTAGTCAGGGTGAGCACCATCTCAGCCCTTGGCCTGCAAAATACCTGCCCCGCTCCACTGCGTGGACTTCACAGGCTGCACAAGTGCGTTTTCTTTTTCCCTGGCTCCCTTATCCCAGGACAGCAAAAGGCAGGGAGTGATTATACTGTTAAGGAATTACTTGTAGTTCTGCATCTGGAGTTCTGTGTCCAGTTCTGGGCTCCCCAGTTCAAGAAGGACAGGGAACTGCTGGAGAGGGGACAGCAGAGGGCTGCAAAGATGATGAGGGGCCTGGAGCATCTCCCTTATGCCAAGAGGCTGAGGGACTTGGGTCTTTTTGGTCTGGAGAAGAGAAGGCTGAGGGGGGATCTGATCAATGCCTGAAACACTTAAAGGGAAGATGCCAAGAGGACGGGGCTTGCCTTTTTTCAGTGGAGCCCCGTGACAGGACAAGAGGAAATGGGCACAAACTTGAATATAAGAAGTTCCACCCAAACATGAGGAGGAACTTCTTCACATTGAGGGTGGCAGAGCCCTGGAAGAGGCTGCCCAGGGAGGTGGTGGAGTCTCCTTCTCTGGAGACATTCAAAACCCGCCTGGACAAGTTCCTGTGGGACCTGCTCTGGCAGGGGGGTTGGACTAGATGATCTCCAGAGGTTCCTTCCACCCCATATCATTCTGTGATGAAGGCAAGTGCCACAAAAGTTGAGTGGTTTTGTGTTGCTTCAGCCTCCTGGGAGGGGGATACCATCTTCTGAGGAGAAAAACCAGCCCCAGCAACCATCACATCCTCTTTCTCCATAGGAGAGCACTGAGGAACCATCAGACAAAAGGTAAAACTAGAATATGCAAAAGAACTGAAACATATAAAGTGATGGATGTTGTTTTAAAGAAGTGGGACAAATTTATTCCTTCCTCCCTTCAGCCAGAGGGGCTCCTGAACCTGCTGGTGTTACCTTATGCTGACCTAAGGGCAGCCTTGGGCTGTATGGGCAGTGGTTCCCCTGCTTTGAAGGGGCTTCATGGCAAACTGGCAGTGACAAGAAGTGACCATTGGTCCTTGGGGAGTTTAATATTAGCATCATAACATGTAGTGCTTGTCCCAAAAGCCAGTCCTGGATGATGTCATCCTGCCAGCACTGACACCCCCCCAGTAACTGTGTGCGTGGTGCTAAGGGAGCCGCAGGCTGGAAGTTGTAAGTGAATTTTGGCCATGTCTTTGAAGACACGGGTCTGTTTAGCACCAGGCAGATGTGGTAACGACTCATTAATTCCACTCTTTACAAGATCTATGGCTGTTAAATCCATTTGTTAATTCCACGCAGAGCTGCTGTATGGCCAGATAAACTCCCAGCTCTAAAACTTTGCGTGCAGTATGTTAAACAAAACGTATAGCCCAGCCCATCCGTACAACTCCAGATTGCTAAAGGCAGGAAATACGACTAAATATTACTGAAATACAGATAAAATTAGCTGCATTGCAAGCCATCACCCCAGCAACCAAAAGCCACCATCTCATTATCATTTCCCACAGGGCCAGTAGGTACAGGACAGAGAAGTTATGGTGGGGTGAAGTCTACACTATGCAGATGATCTTCCAAATTAGTCTCTCCTGGTAGGCATTTAACATAATTAAAATGCTGTTTCCTACTAGATGTGGAAACCTGGCAGGTAAGAGCTAACAAAGCTGCTCAGCAGGAGAGGCAGCAGGTACCTGGCAGCGGTGACACAACGGGCTTTGGTGTAAGAGTAGGGGGTCTTGGTGCCACCACGGCAAGGGCTGGTTCATCATTGTCCATGCTGTCTGTTAAGACCAGGCTTTGGTTTGGGGCTCATCACTTCTTCAGCTCTGGCCCCAGAAATGTTTCTGAAAATATACATTTATTTTCTTTTTTCCATATTCCACCCCTTCCAGCCCCATCCCCGCTAAATGAGAAGAAAATGCAAACTAGGCCGTTAGTTGTCTGTAGATGCCACATGTTTATTGGTCCATTCTAAAAAAAAAAAAAAAAAAAAAATACAGCATTTTTATCTTGCTGTAGTACAGAATAAATAAAGACATAAAAACATGTGGTTAGATAGTTTCATACTGCTTCTACAAAGAGATATATCTGCAAATAGAAAAATATAAGAACCCTTGTTTATTCATGGCTCAGTGGTTATCAGAGGGGGATGAACCTGGAAAAAGATCGGGAGAACTTCTCTGGAGTTTGACTGCCTCTCCCATGGGACTAACAGCCTGACAAACCATGGCCAGACACAGCCCAACTGATAAATCTTCTCATTTTTCTCTCCTCTCCCCTGAAAAAAACACAATTTGACATTCCCAGTGGATATGAGGAAAACCTTTCCCCATGGGGACAGTCGGGCCATGGGCCAGGCTGCCCGGAGAGGTGGTGGAGTCACCACCATGGACCTGGTGCTCAGTGAACCAGCCCTTTCCCAGGAGCCCATCAGGAGCCTCTGTCCTGGGGGCAAGCAGGCAGCTGGAAGCACACAGAAGACACACATGAAGCCCTTGATGGCTCCTGTGCTGAAGCGTGAGATCATAAAAGGTAAGGAAAGAACCCGCTAGGCTGCTGGGAGGAGGACAACTGCTGTGCCTCAGCAAACAGCTGACCTTGGTACAAAAGGTCTGAGGTTTAGATTGCTCTCTAGCTTACACTTTGTTAAAAAAAAAAATAGTTAAATTAATCTCTGTCCTACTACTCCCAACTTCCCAGAGAGGTATCCAGTCTGCCTTAACCTCCTCCCGCTGAGCCTTACCCTCCTGCCTCAGTTGGGCTGATCAGCAAAAAAAGGACCTGAAGGTCAGCTGTGACAACGGAAGGTGGGGTGGTGCTGCAGGTATTCTGCCGCACAGGGGGCACGTGAGCAGGCAACAGGAACAGGAGAAAACATTTCTCATTGGATACCAGAGAGGCAGGAGGGTGCGGTATCTCTGTGCCAGAGGGAAGTGAAAATAAGAGGTACCTCACCCCAAGCCCACCGCAGTCCCTCCCAACCCCAGTACTGCTCAGCTGAGAGGCACCTGCGGTGACAAGATCTGCCTCGGGTCCATCTGACAGTCACAGAGAATCCTGGCTCCTCAAAAAGAGCTTCAAGCAAAGCCATTTCCCATCTCTTTCCAAGTTCTGGTTTACAGGGACACAGTGGTGCAGAAAACAAAAGGTTCAGCTTTGGTAACTGCTGGAAAGCCTCTTCTGGGCAGTCACATGAGTTCAACGGCCTCGTGTTCCCCGTTTTCTTGCTGTACCATACACCCGACTTTGTTGTTGAAGAGACGAGAGAGACTTCCCTTCTGAGAGCTCCTGCCCTGGGCAGACCTCTCCTTCTTCAAACGCCGCTTGTTTCTCTTGCATATCCCCCGGATGTCCCAAATCCTCAGCGTGCCGTCGTGGGAAGCCGTGTAGAGCAACTCGTTGTGGATCTGGGAACAACAGGGTCACAACTTAATACCAAACCCCACAGCTCAGGAACTGGCACCATCAAACTGTCAAAAAATCCCAGCAAACACAGCTTGATGGGAACACTTAGGGCCTGATGGTTCCCTGGAAGAGCCGGTATAAATTATCACAAAAGCTGCTGAAGTGGGTTGAGACATTACCAAGTCAGGACTCATTTCTCAGCCACTTCACAGAGCCATAAAATATAAACAGCAAGAGTTATTTATAACCTAAACCCACTAGAAAAGCAACGGGAAACTAAACTCAATGTCAGAGTAGGCTGGAGCTGGGAATTTCTGTGCTGGTTTCAGACAGCTGGTTTTGAAGATGAGGCTTAAAGAAGCACCAAAATGGGCATCAGTGGGTGGTGGGGGGTCCAGGAATGCTTCCTTCTCACTTCCATCTTCCTTTGCAGTAAGTTATAGGTATGACTCCTTATTCAAAGTTTGCTGTTCTTCCAAACCTGCGCTAATTTAACCTTGATTCCCTCCTGTGGTTTCATTTCCTTCACGAAACATTTTTGCTGCTGTTGGTGATGTTCCAAATTGTCCTCCCTCTGCCCCAGAAGCCAGACGTTGGTCTTGATGGTCCTCCCCCTCCTGCATCAGCCTGTCCCCCACTCGCAGGCTGCTCCCGATAGCGAGCATCCCCCGGCAGCGTGACCCACCCCACAACCACAGCCCCCTCACCCCACGCTCACGTGCCCAAGATCATATTAAAGTCACCCCTTCTCAGTCCTCTCTCTTCCCAGGATTTTTTGCCCTGTACACTTTCCAAAAGGAATTTTATCTCCTCTCTCTTTTTCTTTCAACTGTCAGCCTGGAGACGTGGACTCCGAAGAGCACAAAGCATCCAAGGATTCAAACTCTTCCCCCCAGGATTCCTTGCATGATACTGGTCTTTGCATTCCCACCAAGGATTACTAATTCCTCCCCTCTTAACTTTTAAACCCCAGTATCGCTTGAGCCTAGACAACGTGCAAGCAACTTTTCAGGGATTTCAGTAACTTTTAGAATTTTTTTAAGCCAGTGACAGAGACTCTTCCATTCGAAATCAATACAGAGCTTCTTTGTCATCTTTATACCTTCAGAAAAATAGACCCTGATGGCAATATAAATGTTTGTATACAGGGCTGCACCACTAGCTCTTCACTAAGATCAGAAGAGAGGGCAGCAGTTGCTGGACTGTTGGGGGATGCCCTGCCCAGGGGGTAGGGGTATAATGCTTTGTTTTATTCTGCTTGGATAAGGCAGAAACTTCTTTTCCCCCTAGAGCTCTGCAAACACTTATCATCAGCCTCTTGTAATGGAAGTCCTGAAGGCCATTCCCTGCCCCTGCACAGGATCAGTTATATCTGCTTCATTTCTTATGGCTGCTTGTCTAACCTGACCTGAAAAGCCTCCAATCACAGCCCTAGGGCTGTCTCTGGAGGCTCATTCTGTGGTTTCACTTATCCTCATTATTACCAAGTTTGTCTAAAATTACAAAAGAAATATTCAAGCCTGTTACTTTTCATCTTACCCTAGAACAACGTCCAACCCAAGACACACAGAACAGCCAGCCCACAGAACAAACGAGGGAGCAATCAGAAGCGAGAGATGCCAACAAAGAACCCCCTTCCTGACCTGGATGCAGTTGATGATGAACTTGTGTCCTCGGAAGATCTTCTGCAGGACACCACTCCTGGAATTGAAAGCTCTCGCGCAGGCATCGCCGCTCCCCGTGAACACTGCAACACAACCACAGGGCACAGCACGGGGCCACGTGTCAGCAGCCAGGTAAGGGCAGTTCACATGAGTTCAAAAATGTACCTAAATGTACCTAAAATTAGTTCTCAAAGGAGCAGGACTTATAATTTTTAAGCTTGATTCTCTTCTCGGTTGTAGCCAAGTTCAGATCATTTTCATTTCGTTGACCCCAACACACATTTGCATTTTTGAAAACACTGAACTGCCTTAAGCCTGAAGTTCCTACAGACATCACTCCACACACACTTCAAACAGCTACTTCTGCTCTTCTTTTCCATGTTATATTTCCCTGCCCAAACACCATTCAATCATTCTAAGCAGGCAATTTCTCTCAAGTCTGGTTTTAAGGACTCCCACTAAGCCTTCCATTTGTTTTACCATAGTTATTTCCAGGTTTCCACCCAGTACTGCAGTATCTTACCCAGCATCAGGCAGCAGAAGCTGCCAACCACAGGAACAGCATTATCCTCTCTCGAACTAATGATAGGAATTTGGCCTTAGCTTCATTAAAGTGGTTTTTTCCCCTTTTTCTACAAAAGCTCACTACCAGTAGGTAAGGCCATCTTTGTTGAAATACCACAGTTAAATCTTCTGTCCTCAGAGCTGAGTGGCATGTGCAGGCAGCTTTACAAAGCAGCTTTATAAATTCTTTTCAGTGGTGGTAGATTTCTGCAGCTAAATCCTGTAGCTTAGGATCTTTGCAAGGAGTAGAGCCTTTAAGTGATTCAAGGCCCAGGCTCTAATCTCTCAGTTCAGTGTGGCTGAGCTCTCGCAGGGTTTTGGCTGTAACTCTTGTATTCTATGTGGTCTGTTGTACACATGCTACAAGAGTGAGGCTGGGGAGGATGTTTGGTTGGGGTATTTTTAAAATAAATAAAGCACGACCAGAGATTTTGGCTGTTCATCAGGTTTCCTTAGGGTATCTTAACATGTTTGGAGAACAATTTCTCAACACTTTGGGATCTTTGCATCAGATCCCCAGAAGTTCTGTCTCCAGAAGCTGTAAGACTGCGTTGAATATTTACATGTACCCTACATGTACGTAGCAATATGCCCCAAAAAGAGCACATTTGTGCTTAAAGGGTTACAAACTGTCTTTGTAAACACTCACTTTCCTTCACTTAACCCAAACTCCTCAAGTTTATCTAGAGATAAATATTTTAGAACTGCAAAAAGCAATATATTCACTGCTCCCTGTATTTCATGTGTTTGCAAAAGCCACCACCATGGACAGACTTTTACAAAACTGAAGTGTCTGAAGACAACAGAAACCTTATCTTTTGGGAGAAGTCAGGCACTGGATTCCTAAAGAGAGGTGAAGAAATTATCACAGCAGTAAATTCAGGACTACAACAAGAGAGGAGAGAGCAGGCTGCCTACTGCCATCAGCTTTTCAACTTGAAATGAAACAGCAGGAGGCTGGGTACTTCCTGGGTACACCTTCAAGAAACGTCTGGATATGGAAAATCAATGTCATTTTATACGGGCCACTATAAATTCAATTACCAACACAGTCCTGAAAAAGCATCGCGTCCCATTCTGCAAATGAGTAATAACTATGTAAAGCAGGGAACAAGGTACAGATTTTTTTTCCAGTGAATGGAAATCACTGAATACTATTACACACATGCAGAGAGTAGGAACCAATTAAGAGCCGGTTTTGGTATGCAGCTGTCAGTTTACTTCAGCTATTGCTATGAGGATTTTGCTTTTGACAGACATCCTTTACATCTTTTGAACTGTCACCCTAGATTTAGGAAGTCTCTTTGCATCTCCACATCTCGAAGGAGAGCTGTGGATCTAACCTAGATTTAGCACTTAAATATATGCACTTGTACAGCACCTGTGAAACAAACAACAACAAAAAATATCAACAATTCATGTTTATTTTTTACTTGAGTTTCATAGACCCTTGGGGAGGGAGAACAGGTTTTTAATGTTCCCCTGGAGTTTTTGCAACATGAAAATACATAAACTGCATTAAATTTTAAATGACTGTGCACATACTATAGGAGAGAAACAACCAACTTAATATCATTAAATAAATTAGGTTGAGAACCAGCTTTAATATTCCCCATGCTATTAATTACACAAGTAGGCTGAGGAAAGCCACCAGAAACACATTCTGATGACTTAAAGCTTAGATCTCGGATCTGTCTGGAGTCCCTGTACACTATAAAGCCATTTTGGAAACACACATGTATTTTTCCTATCATTCTTCTACTATATTTTTTTTTATTTAGACTGTAAACTCTTTGGGGCACCGAGCCTTTGGGTATTGATCAGAGAGCAAGCAACTGAATTAAGATCTTCTAACTGAAAGTTAGCGTTTCTCAGCTGAGATTCCTTCCGTGTTCTTGCGCTGGTGCAAATGCACCAAACCTTAAAAACCATCATTTCTATTGAAGTATTTTCTCCACGTTTTTGAAAGACAGAGACTGAACACACAATGCTGACCTGTCCCAGGTGAACAGCTAGAATTTGAAGCTACCCTAGCTCCAACATTTGGTATCCAGTGAACATGTCTTTGTAATTCTGATTGAAAAAAACCTATTAGATAACTGTGCAAATAAATGATCAATGTATTGCAATAATGCAAGCAATCATAGTATATAAATTCATTTTTAAGGGGAAATTTCATCTTTCAAGAATTAAAATGTGTCTAAATTCTATTCAAACAAGTCCCTAATATTTTCCCCATGACATTTTCTTCTACCCTTCAAGTAGAGCAATTCGATTCTCCCTGTTTGACACCTTTAGTATTTTTGAATTTAATTTAAAATGAGATCTTAAATAACTCTGTGAACACTTTTATCACACTATCAGGATGTTCTTCACAGGTCTGACTAAATGCAGAAATATGGCCTGCATTTTAAGAAAAAAAAAGAGTGTTATGGAAAAATAATGTATGTGTATGGCAGGGACAAGGTGGTAGGATGAGGGGGAAAGAGACAGAAAAATGCAGAGCTGGTGGGGGTGGCATCAGATAATGAAACTTAGGTTTAAGCCCAAATTTTCTTTATGATGGTTTTAGAGAGTCTGGTCAAGTCCACACTGGTTGCATGAGAAGCAGGATCAACACTTAAAAATGCAGCTCAGGAGGTCTCATTAATGAAGGAGAGACGGTATCTCCATCTCCCAGCCAGACATGAAGATTCCTCGCTGCATCAGGCCAACATGAGCTTAGCAAAGTCATCCTGCCTTTGGGCAGTCTTGATGAATTCAATGTTTTGGTTTGTATCTTTATAATTAAAAGGGGGCAAACACACACACACACAAAATAATCAGCATTTTGTTTGCCAGTGTTCACCCTCAATTAAAACTTCCAGTTCATTTCCCCTGCCCTACCTGCATACATCTTTGAGCAATAACTATGGGTGCAGCGTAAGCTCAGACCCTTTCCCCTTCCATTTCAGCCTTCTAAGACAACTGCAAAAGCTGAAATAGGCAGAAATTATGACCCACAGGTAGGGGACAGTGGGATATTTCTGCAATATAGGTGGGGAGAGCTGAAATTAACCATAAATTCCAATTAAATATTTTAATAGAGAAAAGTAGTGCTGTGGGTCTGATCCTGAAAATAAGACCAAAAAAATAAAGGCTTCCTGATTAAAATCAAAATCTACCTATGGGCTTGGTTACACATTAAATTTCCAAACATAATTAACAAGCCAATTCAGTTACAGGATTATAAATGTGGTCGGTCAGCCAGCCATATCTAGTATGGTGCTAGACAACTCTCATTAAACTCCGATCTGCCTCTGCAGGTAGAATTCTCTTCTAACGTGTACCATCTTGCATTTGTCAGCCATTTAGCACCATCACACTGATGATCTGCCAAAAGACATGTGAAGGCCCAACTAGCAACCATTCATTTGGTGTTACATGGTCACTTCACAGCTGAAGTATAGAAATTGAAATCAGAAAAGCATGGTGAATTTCTCAATTAGCTTAAGACGGACATTGCCATTCCGGTTGCCCTGAAGGAGAGAACTACTTGTTTGGGAAGCAAATGAAGGAACATCAGGTTTAACATCAGTGGCAGGATAAGACAGGATGACACACTGAGAGAGGTTCAGGCTGATAAAAACAGAGGCACGGTCTTGTAACCCAAAGCCAGAAATGCACAGATGACGTGCAGAAGGAAAACCAGCCAGGAGAGGGATTTAAAGGAGGAGGTTTCATGGTCAGAATATAGTGTTGTGTCAACAACAGACAGTTAAGCAAAGATATTAACAGAAGTATTGAAAGGAGGGGAACTGAGTCCCAAGCATTAGTGAGGCAAGCAACACTTGGCTACTGCAGAAAGGTGGTTTGAGGAACAAATACATGAGAGGGGACAGATAAAGGGAAAAGAACTTGTGGAGAATGGATCTAGGAGATCGTCAGAGTCTGAACAGGAAGCCTAACTGTTAGAAAGCAGCAGTGATGTTGCATCTGAGATGTTATTCTGGTTTAGGACAGGGTCAGGGTCTGAACAGGAAGCCTAACCGTTAGAAAGCAGCAGTGAGCATCTGAGATGTTATTCTGGTTTAGGACAGTCCATTACACAGTACCTGCAAGGAAGCAGAGGCAGGCACAGGGCTGCACATCCAGCAGCAGCACTTGCTGTCCCCGAGTAGGCAGCAGAAGCAGACTGCCAGACGTCAGACTAGCGAGGTTAAACCACAACTGCACAACCAGCCCACAGACAGCTCAGGATTTCAGCCACTTCCACTGGTAACAGAAATAAAACAACTACCTCTTCATTCGCCAGAAGAGGGAGATGGAAAATGTAGGGAAGATCTAACCTTCCCACGTGGAGCAGTGCAGAAGTTGGATACTGAACATAAACATGCTGGAGTTGAGAGAAGTGACAATTTTGCAAGCCTTCAAAATGATAGTATTGTCTATTAACAATCTTTCATCAGACAAACATCAAAAAGGAGACAAGGGATTGCTGAACATAGGAAAGGCAACTTACAGATCCCAGCGTGGTATTTCAAAGTGCTAACGCTGTGTTTGTGAGCCTTGTACGTTTGGATTCGCTCCCCAGTGTCTACTAACCAGCACTTCACTGTCCTGTCCGCGCTTCCCGAATACAAATGCCGATTCACTAGCTGAAGGGAAGAGAAAAAAACCATCAGCAATAGTCTCTCAGGCACATTCGTGAGAGAACTGCACTGAGGTGACTCACACAAAGTCACAGTTTCCAGCTCACCAGGCCTGGTACAAAGAGCAACAGCTACACCTTGAAAGAGAGGGATGGTGAGCAAAACCGATCTTGCGTTCATCGCGATCGCCTCTCCCTTTGACTTCTGGGCCTTAAAAACAGCTCCCACATTTCAGTAGATGAAAAACTCAGCCCATCTGCTGGTGCAAGCAGGCAGGATTTCAGTGAGCTGAACCATGCTAACCCTACTTCGTCATTAGTTACATTAATACAGCCTCAAAAAAAACCCCAAACCTGCAGCGTAGTTTCTGCAAAGTGTATTTGACAAGAACTCTCATCAGATTTTAAGTTTCAGAACAATTCTGAGTAACAATAAAAAGTAAATTAAAAATAAAATCCTATGCAAAATAAACAAGGGTTTAACACGATCACTCTGCACAACGTTAATATTTGGAAACACTAACTCTTCCTTGAAACTGTTTTGTATCTGTATTTCCACAAGTCTTTTTGGACTGTTACCAAACAATTAAGTAGTTAACTATCCTTACAAAGGTTTCTAAACGTCTTCGATCAGTGTCCTCTGCTGTGCATTTAGAGCAACTCTGCCTATAAATCCCAAAGAACGGTGCCCCATCACACTAATTACCCTGCACACTGTGTGAACTCACTAGTGGTGGAGGTTGGTTGGTTTTTATTCCACAGCGACAGGACAGAGAATGGCAGAGGGAAGGACTGCAGTTGGGAAACTGAGACAGAGGGAGAATAACCAACCTGTGCAAGACTACAAAACTAGCTAATACACAGAAATAAGCTAACCAAAGCCTGGCAGCTCCACAGGGAAACCCTCCACAGAGCAAAGAAAAATCTTGCATTCTACGTCCATCTCACTAACAAAGGTTTTAACAGCCATCGTTTTTTGAAATGTCACATCCTATTACTTTTAAGCTGTTCTAGCAATGGCATTCAAACTACATCTCAATGAGGAAAGAGAAGGAATGACCAGCAGCACTAAGGAAAACTGAGAGCCATCCAGTTAACCTGATTTTTAATTTCCAGGCTCAACCTGAAAGGGCACGAGGAGCATCGTCACGTTGCACCTGCTAAATGGAAGAGGTTGCTTTGAGCTGAGACCCTGCTGCAAGGCTCTTGGCTAAGTCATTGCATTTCCTTTTCAGCCACCTCACTAGCAGCACCAACCCACTCACTGAGGAAGGGAAAACACTAAGTTTTAGCCTCCTGCAGGTAAATGCCACTCTGCCTTAATGGTACATCACATTACGCTGCTTCATTTCTACATTTAGGTGGGTGTAGAAATGCTGAAGTGAAACAGAAAAGGTGGAACTTGCCTAGATTTGCTAATTTGCTAGATATAGAAATGTGTTAAATGATGTGGGCTTACTCAGGTAATTTATAGCACCAGGATCATAAGAGCCATAAAAGCTTCCGATGCCCAGTCAGAGGTCCGGAGAGCTGCCTGACACCAACCACCTTCATTCAAATAAAGCCTCTGTGCTGCCCAGGCTGCTGCCTGATATACTTTTATGCACCTTCCTCCCCCTCACCAGGCTGCACAGGTGGCAGCAAAGGACTCTCAGCCACGCATGGAAACAGAAATACTAACAGGTTAAACAATCCACGGGGTGTCACAGCAGCCAACAGTAAAACCCAGGGCAGGCTCCGGCTGTCACAGCCTCTCAGCTCTGTGGCATTTTTAAAACACAGAGCACGGAAGAGCTATTAGTGGAGAAACCCATCAAGAGCTATCAGCTCGGGTTGAATTTGCAAATCAGATCTGCCTTTAGTGATAGGATGCAGGCATCATCTCATCTAAATTGATGCAGATACCCACAGCTAAGATAAGTCTCCTCACAGTCACTGCAGTCTAGGGCACGATTCATCTCATCCTGAAGCACATCACACCTTAAAACTCTCTATTTCTCCCCCTGACAAGGACAGCCTTCTTAGTTGCAGCCATCTACATCAATTTAGGTGAGATGACTCCTCCTTCACTTGACTAAACACAGGTCTAGTTTACAACTCCAGCCTAAACTGCAAGACTGCAGATATCTATATTGAATCAAAATAACAATAATCATCACACCCTGTTCCCTTAGCCAAAACACCTTCTAAACAGGCCCCACACTCTGTGTAATACAAAATAAATACCTTCCCTACTTTATAGATGGGGAACCAGGATATAATGCAACCAAAGTCCATCCAAGTAAGGACTTGAAATTGATAGCATCCTAACAGCCAGCAGTACAGGTCCTTGGGTCCTGTAATCCTTTTTCTTAAGTCATGACTGCATTGAAAACCATCTAACTGTAACAGCTCCCCTGTGACTGCCAGCCCAGTGCACTGATTTCCAGTTAGGTCACCTTCTGCTGGCTCTCCCTCTAGGACCTTTGCTAACTTCCTGACACCAGCTTGGCTTCTCCTATCCAGGGGTTATGGGATTCTCCAAATAGGTTCCAACCTCCTCACCCTCAGAGGCCATTTAACCCAGATCCACCAGTTCTGTTAAACTACTAGGCAAAACAGTATGTTGCCCTCCTCCTTGTCATATTGCTGAATAAAAGCACCCACAGATGCTGTTCCTTGGGTTGAACATCCTCACTGACACGTTCAGCTCAGCAGATCAGGTCCCTCTCAGGAACTGGACAAAAATGTACTGACTTCTTCACCAAAATGTGAGATCACACAGCAGCTTTGGTGGGAGCTAAACCTGCTGCTGCCAAGACTGGTGCCCATCTTGTGCACGGGCATCCAGGCACAGTCATTTTCAGCAAATACTTGTGGCTTAGGTCCCCAGGTCCATGATTACTGGGCTTTTCCAGTCTAAACTCTTCAAACCCATACTCAATTCCCCAGGTGCTAGTCCTATTCTTATTTTAAAAAATTAATTTTCTTATGATTTACAAGGAAAAATGTAAAATTTCTCTCAATAGATATTTCCAGATATACCCAAGTCTGTCAACTCTTGGTTTAAAAATGATCAGTAGGAACAGTTATATATTCTAATCTGCGAGTGCCTGGAGAAGCGGTGATATTTTCAGAGCTGTATTTTCCTTGGCTGCCTTTCGAGCACTTTCTTCACTTTGGCTATCTGCCCAACACAGCTCCTGACAAGAAAAAAAGAGTGGCAAGGCAAGGACACCCGGAGCAGAGCGGACAACACACAACAGATCTGCAGCTCAGACACTAACGAGCAGAGTGGACATTTCAAACCCAAGTAGCTTCAAAAGAATTAAGAGCTCGATGGCTGGCAGATGCTCAGTTCTAAAGCCTCAGCCAGACAACAAACAAAAAAAAAAAAGCCACTGCATTGATATCTGTATTTCTGGACTGTTAATTTTTCTCATTACTCTGAGGGACTTTGCTTTGAACAAGATGAAACACTAAGACACATGAATGGAGCAAACTTGTCCTAATCCTCAGGCCAAAGTTCTGTAGATGTGCCATTCCATGAAAAAGTTGAGTCAGAGTTGCTTGTGAGTAGCAAAGTAACAGCATTAGCAAAATACAGGTTGCAAACAGTGAAGTAGTTACAGGCTTCACTGTTTAAAAATGCCAGTTTTAGGCAACTCTGACCTTGGTTGTACCCCCTAGACACACCACAGTTTGAATTAAATAAAAAAAATATATAATTTTCATGCCTAGGGTAGGTCTTTCAAGACAATCACAACCCTATTGCTCCAAAGGCTGGACTGAACTGAATATATGCAGCAGCTTAAGACAATTTCCACCTGTCTGAATGCCAAAAAATATCTGCAGGAGAGCTGTTTAGCAGGTATTTCAACCTTATAGGAATGGGCTTTGCTCTCCCAATTAACCTTGGCTATAAGAAACAATTTAACATTCATCCAAGGAGAGGCAATTGGCTCTGCAAACAGATTTGGATGTATGTTTTTCCTGAAGGTCATTGGACTCAGAGTGGCTCCCAAGAACTTCATGATGAGTTCACATCAGGAGCCACGTTTCTCGTTGCCATCTTACCCCTCACATGGGGCTCCGTATTCCTACCATCTGCCAGCTGGGTCTTCTGTTCACAGCCATTTCTAAGTTAAAAATCACCAACTTGGACCAATCTCAAGTTACAACTATGTAAGCCTTCAGCCGAGTTAGACTTTCAGGATCCCATTCAAACCACATTCATTTTAACAAGCTAACGAACTCCCCCTGGGCAAGAAATTGTTTTTTCTTTTTTCCTGAGAAACCATCTAGAATGAGCTCTCTGGTCTGGCTGTTAGAGAACATTTTTCAACTTCTCTACTGCAGCACGAAGTCTGCAGAAACATGTTTCTTTCTACAGGTGTTCATATTCCTCTAATTCGCATCTTCATCCTCTGATGAATTATGCAACAAATACAAATTACAAAAAAAAAAATAATATGTGCACTTAATTAATTGGTATGACAAGAAAAAAAAATAAAATCTGTCCCTGTGATCACAACAGTTAAGCATATAAACAGAGCTGAGGCAATGGCTTTGTTCAAAGCATTCTTTTCTTCTAGTCAGATTTAAAAGGCAACTAAAGAGAATGCTCCAAACAAAGGATCTTTTGCAGGAAAACGAGAAGCAAGTCCTTGCCCACTCATGTTCATTTAAAACTCCTTTTGCAAGAACGGAGTTTTCTTGCAAGAATGTTTGCTATAGGATCCAAGCTAAATTCCAAGCTGGATCATTTCTCTCTGCCAACTTTTGGCAGCGCAATCTTGATAAATACTCAGAGGCAGAACAATCAGCAAAGGACAAAGCAATCCTTGTGAGCAGTTTGCAAAGCTGCTTTGGAGACATTTAGAAAAAATTACACACAAGTAAATATTTAAGTCAGGGTTATTCAGCCTACTGCAGGCAGTCACGTTAATGAAAATGCATGTTTGATTATTAATTGCAAATACTGGGCTTTAGCCAGGCTTGAAATTTCGAAGTGGAAGAACTCACTGAGCTGTGTGACTATGCTCAGCCCACCCCTGCTTTTTTCCCCATCACTTCTTATAAAAGTCTCATCGTTGGCTGCTATATGAAGAGGGAGCACTGAAAGCAGCTGCTGTCCCAGCCTGCCAAGCTATCCATGCACTGCAGGAGAAACAGTGAGGAGTTCTGGCCACTCTGCTACTAGTTACCCAGCCTGACTGTGAGAGTGAAGCAGCCAAGGCCACCAAAGCACCTCAGCAGGACATGATTCCTCCTGCAGATACAAAGTCTCCTGGCAAAACTTTTGTCAGTCTAATTTAGATAGTGGAAGGACAAGAAGAGTGGTATTAGAATAAGCTGGTACCTGCAGCAGAACTACTTTGACAGCAAAGCACACACAGTCAGTTCAGCTGGTAAATCACCTTCAACAGACTGACCCCGGGACAGCAGGACAAGCCCTGGGGAATATCTGAGCAGCTCCCCCTTTTCACTCCACCACCCAGGACCACCAAGGATGGTGGAAAAGGGAAAGCTAAAAGCTCTGCCATGCTAGATTAGAGTTGCTTTCAGGCTCCTCTAACTTACCCTAGCTGGCAACACCACCTAAAAGATCTCAGAGCAACTGAGGAACATTCAAAACCAGAGCATGCCTGTGGCATCACCTGTGGCTTTTCACACGCCAGCACTGCAGGAAGGTGGAGGAGAACACGGGCGTGCTTTATGGATATCTGCCCAAAAATGCTCCTTCAAGAAGCTCCAGGAATTTCCATTCACTGCTACAGCAACACTATTGGTATTTACTGGAAAGTAATGGGAGAAGACTGGAACAGTCCGGACCTAATTTGCAGCTGTTTAGAACATCCTGGGGCATTCCTTTTAATAACAGTACTTTTTAAAGTTGGGGAAAATATGGTCTCAATATCCAAATTTTTCCTGATCTGTGTCCAGGATGAGAGATCACACTGAGCGTTTCTCAAACTTTTTGAAAGGTCACCCTCCCTTAAGGATCTTTATTTGAATAAATAAAATGAAAATAAGTCTTTATTTTTTCCCCTTTATTCCCACACAAGCATTATACCACCCAGAGAACAGGTAACTACCTTTAATTGCTGGTAACAACTCAGCTCTTCCAGGATAGGGGAGTGAAAAATCTGATGTAATTAGCAGCTCACATCTGCCCAGAAGAAAATGAACTATTCTCAACAATTAAAACTGTCTGCTGGCTACTGTGAGCAACCCACAACTACCTCCAAGTCCTTCCCTGACCCATGGTTTGAAAAATACTATCCCAACTCATTACCACAGATTGCAACACTGTCACTAATAAGCCCTAGGCAAAAAAAGATTCCAAGAGCTTTTTTTATATGAAAACAATAATTTTTTAAAAAAAAAAACTAAACACCTCTATTCAGGAAGTTTCCCTTCTGTTGTAACATCTTTGTATGGATTCTGGTGATTGACCCCTTTTCTAAAAGAATGAAAATACCATGTGGGCTGTGCTGAGAGGCAGCCAAGTGGAACAGAAGGGCTAGTGTTGAACCCAGTGAGGAAGAAGGAGGAATTAGGAAAGATCGACAGCCTAAAGCTATTCAACAGCAGTACAGTGACTGCGTAAGCTGGGATAAGTTTTAGAGGCCTAGAAACTAAATGCTCTCTGTGGGGGCAGTTATATACCTCAGCTGGACTCTTCTAGCCTCAAACTTCAACTGGTGAGGAGAGAAGCGAGGGGCTACCAGTTACTCACAGCTAGAAGAAGATTTGGCCAGGACCGTTGCCAGCACAGTCTTGGCAGCAGCAGTCTTGTGTACTTTGAATTGTTCAGGTTTTCCAAATAGATGTTATTGGTTTTGCTTTTCTTCTCCCCTACAAGAAGTTCTGTTTGTTTAAAACCATTGTTTAACTCTGTGCTCACAAGCGGAGAGGCATTGCTCATTCTTGAGCATTCAAAGAGTGTAATTGAATTTCTCAGGCTTCTGGGAGAGGGTCAAGCCAGTTTTGTGTAACAGTTTTAGCAAGAACCCAATTAAATTAAAGCAAGCTCTGCTGTTGCCAATCTGTGCCTTGGAGAAGGGTTACAATTAAACAGCAAAACATAGCGTGACACTAAGAACGGCAACAGATTTACTTAAGCAGTCTCAAAATACATTACCACAATATCATAAAAACAAGCTTTAACACTGCAAATTTACCCGAGCAAGACAAACATTACTCCAGGGCAACATGATTTTGTGTGGTTTTTCTTTCTTCCTCCCTAAAACTGAAGGAAAATAGAATTCCTTCAGTACTACCGGGTTTTTAGTCCGCTGGTGTCAGCAGTGACTGCCTTCTTTAGAAACAAAGGCAACATTTATTTATTAAACATCTATTAAAAATACGTACTGCAACATCTCTAAAGGAAAAGCACTTACAGACGACAAACACAAACAAGGAGAGTAGTGAGAAAAACTAGTCATTAACTTCAGACACACACATTTAAAAACATTTAATGTTTGCTGACCTGAAACTAAGTTACAGACCAGCGTTTAACTTCTTTAAATATACCATTAGCATTTTCTGGTGGGCAATGAAGTGTACAGAACAAGCACTTGTGCAATAGTTCCCCTTTGCCTTCATCTGCCCAACCTCCTTCTCTCCTCTGCAACTTTAACAAACCTGGCAGCATTCACCAGAAAAATACTGCAAATAGTAAAACACAATATATTTTTTCAGATCACGTCCCCCCCCCATCATTTCCTGATTTCTCTCCCCATGTTCTACTTCTCTTTTCCATTTTCCTTGCCCATTCTCTCCTCTTGGCCATCTCTTTCTCCCTTTCTTTTTTCAAATTATGTCTGTGTGGTTTTTAAAGCTTTATGCTTTCCTATTATCTTTTGCCCACAGTTTTGCATTGGTTTGGGGTTTTTGTTCTGTTTCAGTGATTTATTTTTTTTTAAGGTTTACTCTGATTTTTTTCCCCTCCCCTTTTTAAGTTAAGTTATCTGACCCTCTGTCTGTTTACTTGCACAATGAACAGTTCAAGTTATTTTTCTTTAAAATTCTGGTGATCTATGCAGGCAACCCTACTCAGAAGAACAGTCCTTCCAGCCACCCTACTCATAAGCTTCAAGACCTGGGAAGATTTCAACAGACACTGAGCTAGAAGCTAGACTGGACTAGGCACTAGAAGCCAAGAGGGTCCCAGAAAGGATTTTAGGGAAAGAAGAGTTGTCTCAAGACCACAGATCACTATTATTTTGTTATTACGTGAACGTTTAAGTTCACCATTTATGACCTGTCTCAGAAGAGCTTCTTTATGAATGAAAAGCAAATGGAGACCCACATGAGTCAGGATATAGATACCCCCCCTTGAACGGCTCTTGAAGATCTTACCTCTAGGCAAATTACTGATCCTTGATGCTCTTTGAACACTTTCAGCTGCTCACCAGTGACAATATTCCACGTTCGAATGGTATAATCCGTGCTGCCAGAAAACAGCTCCCTGTTTGGTGCGTCAAGTATAAGGCATAAGACAGCCCCAGTGTGTCCCAGCAGAGTCTGGTAACAGCGCCCACTGGACACCCACCAGACCTTAACAGTGCAGTCTGTGCTACCTGTCACCAGGAGGTCTCTGCTCACTTTCTCCTCCTCTTCCTCTTCCTCCTCCTCTTCTTCAAGAACATCCCTGGAGGAATAGTGAGCTAGAGTCAGGACACAGTTCCGATGGCCCCGGAATTCCTGGATTTGTTTCTCCTTGTCCACACTCCAACAGCGGGCCGTCCTGTCATAGGAGCCACTAAAGAGATAGTCTTTGGCAACCAGGATCCTGCAAAAAATAAAGTTTGAGTATATGAACAGTATCATTCCTTTTACGTAATAATTTTTGGGTCACAATTTCAATGCCAAGTACACTAAACTTAAAAACAGCAGCATGAACACAACATACACGACCCCAATTCCAGCATCCCTGTTTAATACATATTGTTCCTGAACTTCTTGTTTTCTTTTTTTTAAAAACAAAACAAAACAAAACAAAAACACACCAAACACTTCGGTGTTTCTCCTTTTAAAACTGAGATCTCTTATTCAGGTACACATCAATGCAGACATTTTAGAGCTATTGCACTGTAACTTTGAGCATTTGTGTTTTTCTAAAATCTTTTCCAGCAGCACTATTATGTACTTTTCTTAAGTTACATATGCTAAGAGTTTGTCGTGGTTTTTGTTGGTTTGTTGGCTTTTTTTTAAAGAACTCATTTCTGTTAAGTATTTATCAGCATTTCTTTACAACTATTTATAAATTGACCTATGAAAATAGCTTGGAATTAAAATTAACAAAAAAACCAAGCCAAAACAAACCTCCAGAACCTGAACTGTAAGTGGCAGTATGCGAAGATAATAATCTATCACCAAACAAAGACAGTGTAGAAAAAAACCCAGACACCTCATTTCTCTTAGCCCAGGATCTCAAAAGAGGTAGACAAGAGCACCCCCAGTTATTACATAACTGAAGAGTGAATCAGAGATTACAGCTCAAGAATTCAACTTACTGAGCCTCCAAAATAATGAGTAGTGGCTGCATGAGCATATAATAGAGAAAATAGAGAAAATAGAGAAAATAGAGAAATCTCTACAGTTCGTATTTCCAAAACAGAGATAGGGAACATCATAACCTGCCTCCTTTGTCAGCTGAGTTTGGTCCTCTGGAACCTTTCAAACTGGCAACAAAGCCACACGAATAGGGAACACATTTCCCATTTGCTGATTCAAGCAAAAATCAGGCCAGTGCCAAAATTCAGACAGAGCCAGCCTTCCTAACTATTTACAGAATCCAGCTACACATTGTATGTGTTTTGAGTTTAGTAAGGAGCAAAAAAAACCACCCACCAAAAAGTATGAAAAGAACACCAATCTTTTAATGTTCGATTTGTCATTAATTAAATCCAGTCCAACTATTAAGAGGTACTTTAAATTAACAGGCCAATCAGTCACACACAATCAGTTTAATATTAAACTTCATTTGCACAAACAGGAATAGTAATTCCAGAAAAAGCCCTGACTTTATCCCTCTTTCTGACACGAAGGCTTGACGTGATGTTTTTAAATCTATTTATCAGAATCATCTGTTATCAATTGAATAATTTCTTCTGGAATTTCATTCCTAGCCCTGGATTCAATTCCCCTGCTGTGCGCCTTTCATTTCTCTCCTATCTGCTGTCTATGGATGTGTCAGCACTGTTGCTAGGAAAACTAATCATTACAGCACAGAACACATGTAGCAAGAACTCAAAGGTTTACACAACCCGTTTTATTAGTGTAGTAATAGAGAATTGCAGGAAAATGACAATATATGCACAATAATAGATTACAGGAACACAAGGGAAGAACTCCATGGAACCAACCTGTTAACAATTGATGTGTGTCCTCGGTAAATGGCCAGGCACTGACCCGTCATCACGTCCCACTTTCGAATGGTATGATCTGCGCTACAGGTGAAGGCAGCCTCATTTTCTAAGTGGCAAAAGGTGATGTAACTTTCATGTCCTAGGAATAACAAAGGAAATAAATTCCATCACTGCGCAATGCAAGCAGGACAGACTGCTTGGGCTCTTTACCTTAACTAAAACTAAAATATAACAAACAAATGGACAAAAGCTCTAGTTTTATATGCACCACCATGTTTTTCGCATTTAAGGATTTGTATATCAACACAACATTTTTAATTAACAGCAGAAAACTCCATTGATACAAGGATTACGTGGAAAAACAATTCTACCAATTGGGCAGATTGAACAGTGTTATAAAAACATGAGCTAAATTAGTATCAGTATAATAAAACTCAGACTAATTAAATTTAAACCCAGTAAAAAAATGGCTTATTTTCTAACAAAGAAATGCTTTTGCTTCCCTCTTCTGAAGTCAGAAAAAAAAAGGCAGCATTTCGACCCAGCCCATTGATTGTCAGGACAAAACCAGCCCTAAATTAAAGCATGAAACTATGAGAAAAGGAAACGACATGAAATTCATCAGCAAGTTAGTTTCATTGTCCAAGCCCAATGAAACACAAGCAAAAACACATATCTGGTAGAAAGTCAACCCATACTTTCCCCATTATGACTAATAACATAAATAAAGCCAGCAATTTTCAAAATGTCAGTATATCTTTAAGGAAATGACACGGAAAGAAAGAATAAGAGCACAATTATTTATTCAGTATTCAGAGTATGTTGGGATTCTACACTTACAATAAAAATAGACACAACCGCTACTCTAAAAATTTCATGCTGAAAAACAGGGTAATACTCATGAAAAGGAGTCAACATTACAAGGTTAGGATTTTGTTGCTGCTTAGCAAGTTGTGTCGTTTTTCTATTGTATTGTTAAATGCACTGCATTTAAAAAGTCACCTTAGGATTCAAGTCCCAGCTTTGTCCAAGATCTCTTGTGTGAAATTGTTGTCACCTATCTAATCGTTTGGATAATATCACCTTGCACCCCTTTGTTTAGACTGTAAACTTTCAAGATCATAACTGTTTCCTCCTAAGTAACTACCACAAAAGAGCCCCAGGACTTTGGTTGAAGCTGGTGGGCACTAGTGTGATTTAAATAACACTATTCTTTGAGGAGAAAAGAAAAAAAAATACAAAAGAGACAAACATGATTAAAGAGAGACAGATGGACAGTCAAAGATATTAGAAAAACAGAATCATGTTGTAGAATAAAGAGATGGTAAAAAAAACAGAGGGAAAGCAGACTGCCCAGTAAAACACTTCATTTCACTGACTGCAAGAAACAGATTTTACTAGAAATCCTGTAGTTCAAAAGCCTTGTTGTAGTTCAAAAGAATCCACGTTACAAACACACGTCTTGCTTCCTCTTAAGCAAATTCACCAGATGTCAAAAAATTAAGCAGATCACCAGGGCTATAAGCAAAACTATACCAACCCTCACATTGTCGTGAAAACTTTTTACAAAGCAGCTTAAATGGGACAGGTTTCAACCACCAGCATTTTTCTCACAGCATCATGTAAGCCTGCTCTGAGGCGGCCTAAAAAGCATCTCGGTTACTGCATCGAACCCTGTCAGTCCGATTTTAACCATCAATAATACTCAAGCTACACAAAGGATGTCAAAGTCCCCTGTTGCAGACAAGGTCTGGTCAAAAGCAGCCAACATAGAAGTCTGTTGGTTATGCTGTGGTGGAAGCTTGAAACTGTGTTATAGATACAGGTTTATCAGTAATTATAGCTTGAACGATACAAATTTATGCAAGAACTGTGTGTACATCAATATAAAATACATACAGTTATCTGATTTGACTGACTGTTCACAAACTGTCTGGACAACCTTCTTTAGAGTTCACTAGCAATACACAGGCATATTCTGAATATTATCCAATATATTTCTCTTCCTAGTTAAAAGTTAATTGGCTGTTTAAAGAGATTTCTAAGCCTTAAGCAAACGCAGTGAGTTTTCCAGGAGCTAGAAGCATAGCAGGATGTGGGGAAAAAAAGACAATACTCCATCGTTAAAAACAAGCAAGAAAGCAAACAAACAACTACAACAAAAATCACAGCAATGTGATTTCTTATTTGGAAGAAAAAAGGATTAGAAATTCCAAATTTAAGAGCTTTTCTTTCTGTATTGAGAAAGAAGATATGAGTGAGTGACAATACAAATATCTTTAGTCCACATCTGACTCCTGCATGACTGTACTTCCTACAGAGGTTTTATTTTCTTTTTAATTATTGAGAAGTTAGTATAAAGGTAATAAATTTTGTTTAAAATGCAAAATCAATTTGGAATGAGAAAGCCTAGCAATTAACATTTATATGTGTGAAATGAGGGGGGAAAAACCAGCCTATTTAGTAAAGTTTCTTTCCAGGTTTTTGCGTCAAGAGGTTCTAAATAAAGATTGTCTGGGAAATGAAATTATTAAAAGGATGAATTAAAAAAAAATAAAGAGACAATAGCAAAAAGTCCAGGTTTCATCAGGGTGTAAAACAGACAACTTCTGGAAAGGGACATCAGTTAAACTACTAAGCTCCACACTCTGAGATAAAAGGATCCATGCATTTAGTAGTGCTGGTAACCTGCTTTCGATTGAAACAGCTTCTGTTTAACATTACTGTAACCAATACTCAAAAAAAAAAAAAAAAACACAAAACAAAAAAAGCATTATTTTGGCTGCCCAGCAGGCCGCAGGGACCGAAAGAGACCAGAACATGCCGTGTGGCCTGTGCCATGGCTCAAAAAGTAGGCGAAAAGGAGGTACTGTACCTTGGAAGTGGCCGTGGCACTGGCTGTCGGCAGTGCTCCAGAGCCTTGCAGTGCCATCCTCGCTACCCGTCAGCAGGCGCTGCCCGTCCGGGCTCAGGCTCAGCCAGTTGATGCCTCCTTGGTGATCTGTGCAGACCTTCACGGCCGAGCCACTGTTCCCCATCCCGCCGCTCCCAGCCGAGGCAGAGGCTGCGGGTTCAGATCATGGGCACCGCGCGACTTCCAGACATTGCTCTGGGCCTCCAGCCGTCTCCCAACCGACCAGCCTCAGCCATTACCTCAACTCCAAAAAATCATCAGGGTAGTCCGGACGGCTGCAGAGGGGACACAAAAGAAGGCACGTTAAATCATTTCATCTCTCCCGGAGATACATCACTTTCTCAGTCGGGGTCTGCTGGAGCTACGGAGTGCCCATTTCTCCCTAGGAACCGAAGCCCCACTGTGGAAGACGGTGCTTCAGCCCCACTGGTGTGCCTTCTCCATGGGCACAGAGGTTACGTCCAGCCCCTCGGAGAGGACCCAGCCCGGACGGCGGCGGTACCGCTACCTGGTGCCCTGCTCTGAGGCTGCCGGCACGATCCTTCTTTTTCAGCAATTTCAAGGCTGACTTGGGACACGCTGAAGAGGCGACGCCTCCGAGCGAGGGAAGCCCGGCCTCAGGCGGCCCCCAACGCCCCGAGGCCCGCCTGCCTCCTCCTCCTCCCCCGGCCGCCTCAGGATCACCTCAGCGGCCCCGGCTGCCGCCATCCCTCCCACACGGCCCCCCGGCATCTCCGCCCTCGGCTCTTACTCGGACACGGCCCGGGCTCGTCTCCGGCGGAACGATCCCGCACTCACCCTCCCGGGAAGGGGGAACCTCCTCCCGCCGGGGGGAAGCCGGAGCCTGCGCCGGGCCGAACGCGGGATCCCCCCCGCCGCCGCCTCCGCCCTGCGGGGAGGCGGGAAGGGCTCCCCTCCGCCCCCGCCGTGCCCCCCTCAGGCCACCTCGGGGCGGTTCCCCACCCCCAGCGCCGGCCCTCCCTCCGTTACCTCCCTCTCCGTGTCGGAGCCGCTTCCAAGCGCCGCAGCCCCCCTCCCCGGGGCGGGCAGCCGCGGCCTCCCACCCGCCCCCCCGCCCCGCTTCCTCGGGGTTACCGCTCCCCGCCTCGTCCTCCCAGGAGGTGCCCGGCGGCTCTGCCCCTCCGAGACGGCCTCCCGCCCGCAGCAAACCCCCTTTTCGGGGGTAAAGAGGCATCCCCCCACCCCTCCCGCCGCCCGCCTCCTCAGGGCTGAAGCCGCCCCTTACCTCGCTTCAGCCACCCGGCGGTGAGGGGGGAAGAGCTGAGGGGCGGGAGGGTCTTTCCCGGCTGGGGACCCTTTAGTAACCGCGCTACGAGCGAAACAACCCGACAACGCTCCCACCGCCCCCTCAGCGGAGTCCCCGAGGCTTCTCCTCGGGGGGAGGCAGCGCTTCCCGGGGCACGTTTGGGCCCCCTCAGGGCTTCCCGCCGGCCCCGCCGCCTCAGGGCTCTCCCCGGCGGCACCGGCCCCGCGGCGGGGAGCCGCCTTCCTTCCCCGGCTTCTCAGGCTGGTGCCTCCCGGGGGGAGGACACAGAGGCTTGTGCCGCCGAGCTGGGGGCTGGCTTTGAGGAAAGCCATCGCCTTTTGTTCCTCCTCTCGGCCCCCTCCCTGGGCGAGCTCCCACCAAGCTTCTCCTCAGGAGCCTCCCCCCATGGGACCCCCCCCCAAACTCCTTCTCTCTCTCCGAGCCTTCTCAAAGCTTTTTGGGCTATTTCTTGTTAATACAGCCCCTTTTCCCATCCACTCCCAGTACCTGGGCTGGTAGCAGGGCCCCTGGCTTCATGCTGCCCCAAACCCCCTGGCCAAGGGCTCCGACATGGTGGAGTAGAGCTGCTCCAAAGCGGGGCTCTGCTGCCTCGGGAGCTGTGGGGAACATGGGCCAAAAGGGTCCTGTCCCATCGTGGTGTAATTAAATCTGCAAAAGATGAATCCACCGGGCAGAGAAAGGCAATATGGGGAGACTGGGAGCCCCCAGCAAGGCAGCGGCAGGGTCTGAAGTGGATCACCCCCCCTAAGAAACAGTCAGCTGGGGCTAATTTGCTGCTACGAACATGCCGGCAGTGGTAGGATAAACCACAAAACCCACTTCTCCCGGCTCCTGCCCCATTTGATCAGAAAAGCACCTTTTTGTCTCACATCACCGGCCTCAAAACAGGCCCGTGGGCTCCATTTCACACCATCGTGTTCAGTACAGGGGTTCACCCCGCACTCGCCGACATTTAAGAAGGCATCAGCCCGGCTCCTGCGTGGTGTATTTCAGTGTGTGGGCCGGACAGAAATGCATGCGTTAAACGGATACTTCACGGAATATGTTATTTTGCACAGTGCGTTCTGGCAGCGGCCAAACAGGCCTGAGATGTCACGCCCAAGGCAAACACGAGGTGGTCCCGATTCAGCCGCCGGTTGTAGCCGTGCAGCCATGGAGAAGGGTGTGAGACGGAGCTGTCGGGCTGCAAATTTGTATTTTGTGAGGGTCAGGTCGAGCCCCGTCACGTATCATCACCAGGCAGCTCTGTTCTGGAGGCAAGCGGTTTCATACAACCCTCTGCACATTCAAGAAATGACCGGGAAGTTTTGGTGTGAGACGTGAGCGCTGGATTTCTTCCCTCTGAAAATCACATTATCCGTGGAAAGCTATTTTTTTGGACATGGAGGCCTGGGAATCGGCTGCTCTCAGGGAGTGTCCCTCACCATCTGCTCATACATCTGTCAAATCCACTCACAAACCCCTGTCTGGAGTCCTTGTCCGGGAAACTGTAAGATAGATTAGCACTCCTTTTTATTTTCTTACTCTGCTGTGATGTGAACGCAAGGGAAAATTCAGAGGGAGGGGGTGTTATGTTAGGTTTGGGGCAGGTATGCATGTTTTAAACATGGGCAGTTTAAACCTCCAGGGGAGGCTGAGCTAGAGGGGAAGCCCTTGGCCACAGCATCAGCTGTGGGAGCCCACGGGAGCTGGGGGCGTGCTGCTCCTTCCCTCCTTTTTTAAAGCCTTTCCAAGTTTTTTTTTGGTTTTTATTTCAAATTAATATTTCCCTCCTGTGGTGACAGGATGAAGGCATCTGAGCTTTTGAATCTTTTCATTAATATTTATTCATTTTCTTGAGGGTTTTTTAATATTATTTTTCTATTGGTCTCACCTGCTTGAATTTTAGATAATTTTTCTTTATTATGTTTGCATTCTCCTTTTTTTTTAATTGAAGTGCCATGAGGAAAACAAAAATTATCTGCTGTTTGATTTTGCTCCTCAGGGCCCAAATCCTGCAATGAATCCTCCTTTACCCAGACACCCCAGGATGCGCAAGCACAAAACTCGGGGTTGCTGGTATACGTTTCACTGGTCATTCTCCAGCAATTTTCTATTATGTATTTATGTAAATACAGATACATGAGCATACAACACGTGCACGAGCTGCTCCTATAACATCCACATAAATAGCAAACCTTGAGAAGGCATCTAGATGTTTACAGCTAGATTCATACTATACGATTTGTGGGATCCAGTGGCCATTACTAAGTTGGGAGCCAAGTTTAAACTCTTTTGGCAGTCACCAGGGGTAAATGAAGGATGTGGAGTTTAGATCAGCTGGGTTGTCTTTTGGAAGGGAAAGGGGTTGCTGGTGCAAAAGCCTCTACAAGCAACTTTGTGCCAAATTATTTGTGATCATACTCACCTGACAGACCTTCAGACACACAGCGCAGACTCCCAGCCCTGCTGTAAGTTTTATGTAAGTCAGCATTTACATCAGTAGCCGCACTCGTGTAAATGCTGAAGAATGTTTCCCTTGATAAGATCTCAATGAGGATGGAAAGGATTTCAATAACTTTACTGATGCTGTTTATGAGGGAAGGAACACAGGCAGCTCCTCCGCATCCACCTCCCCCTTCTGGGGCCTTGGGTATCTGGATGGATTGCAATGGTCTTTGATGGACAACAGAGACTCTTTTGTTCTGTCAAAGAAGCAGAGCCAATAACGCCCCAAAGAAGTTAGCACCGAGAGCTCCACTCACCCAACCAAAAACAAAAGAATAAAGTGTGCAGCAATGCAAATTCTCTTTCTCAGAGAATTAACCCCTTCCACCATCCAAACCCTTCCACGTGCCTACAGAAGGACCTTTCTGGCTGCCAGCATCTTTTCACTTTCATCCTATCGCTGTGCTTCAGGCTGTGATCCCCAATCACTGTCAGAACTGATGATAATTAAGTATTGCCTCCTCTTTCTTCACCTCAGAAAATTGCAAAAGCCAACTACCTCTCTTAAGACCAAAAGGTTGATAGTGGCATATCCTGCATCGACATCCAGCCTTGGTTGTTTTTTGAATCAACCACATTGTTATAGTCAATGAGAACTGTTAGCCTCAAAAGCATGTTACATGGTGTCTCCAGAGGCAAGGTCCCTCGCTGAACAAACCTGGTCTACGCCTTGGTAGGGTTAAATTTAATTTTAAAAGTGATCCAGTTACACTGGTACAATGTAAATAAAATCTGAGCCTAAATAGATTTAAACGTAGCTTCTACTGGTTTGATTTAATTCAAAACATTATCAACGTCTAAGTAGCTTTGGTTGCATTAAGAGCTGGCATTGGTGAAGGCAGATTGATTTTAGGTGGATTTAATTATCAAAACTCGAGCAGATGTGGCCTTACTCTGAAGTGAGGATGGGGGAGCAGAAGTCAGCACAGTTTCTTGAATAGTACGTGACCAGACCCTGCTCCTCAGACCCAGCAAGTGCTAACACTGAAAGGCAGGGCAGAAGCTGCCCTCTCCTTCTCTTCCCTCCACCTTTTGGGAAGTCCTGTGACAGCAACATTCAGCTTTTTCCTTGGCAGAGCCAAGCTTCAGCTAACAGACGGGCACAGAGCTCTGTGTTAAAATGCCACAGCATAGCTTTGTAGGATAAAATGTCTTGATTTCCCAGCCCGATGCCACAAGTATGAGGGCAAGTCAACGGCAGCCAGAGAATTTGCAATTCTGAAAGGAGATACCTTTTAGGCAATGCAGAATGATAGGGGTTGGAAGGAACCTCTGGAGAACATCTAGTCCAACCCTGCTGTGAAGGGAATCAGCCTGTGGAACTGACTGCCACAGGATGCTATTGTGGCCAAGCATTTGACAAAGAAATTCCCCAACAGTTCATACCAATGGGACCTCGCCAGCCCTCAAAATTTATCAAAGACCACCGTGTAGCTCTAGATCCATGTGGGGCTTTGCATCCTGGTCACGGTGTAGGGGAAGGCTGTGATGGTGTCTAGGCTGTGTGTAATATTGCTTGGGGTCTCCTTGAAAGCAAGGGTTGGTGTGATCCACAGACCAGCTGCAGTCTTCTTGCCATAGTAGTGTCTACATGTGGAACCAAGCAGTCCTCTTGCCACCAGACTAGGAGACCTGTTCGAACACACCGTGGTTCCCTTCCAGCCTGCGTGCTGAGGTTCTCTTCTGAGGGATGGTGTGTGCCTGCACCGCTCACCGTGATGCCTAACACGGTGTCAGTTCACAGCTGGAGTGCAGAACCAGGCTCCACAAAACCCTAACCCCACAGAGCACCCCTGTGGGAGGCACCACTGGGAACAGGACTGGAGAGGCACACGTGGAGGTACGTGGAAAAATGTAGTATTGCCAATTGTATGTGGAAATACCAAAAAAAACCATTTTGGAAGATAGACCCTCCCCACCAGCCCACTCTGGAATGTCATGCTCTCTCCCAGGGTCATCCAAAAGCCTTCAGAGGCTGTGGGCAGAGTGCCTGTATGTGCAGTTCTGCACACCACCTGACGTTATCCTTTCGGACCTCAGACCCAAGCTTCACAACTGAACTCAGCACTGCAGTTCCTTCTGACCCCTCTGCAACTGGCCTCTTTTACAGGCAACACAGTTCTTTCTTTCCTCATATAAGTATGGATCATTTGCAGTTTGAAATGTCCTGGAGTGCTCCGAAGTCTAGCTCGTGTGTAAACATTTAGCAAATTTCCCCTACAGGACAAAAGATGGTTGGAAACTGTCACGTACCCTAGGATTTCCTGTAAACATCTACCAAACTCTTTTGGTTTTGAATCGGATCTGAAGCAGTGTTTCCAAACCAGTTCTTTTTGAAAATATTTGGTTTTTGTAGGTTTGCTATACTGCCCTAACAAGCATAACTGTCTGCAAACCCCACGTGCATCTCTGCTGTTCATTGCTGTTTTACCTAGCTGAATGGACTATTCCTAATCAGTGTCAGGAGTCTGAAAGCCTGGGATCTGGAAAAATCAAGTGGTGTTCAATGACCTAATGATGGTTAGGTGGTGGTAATATTGATGATTGATACAAGTGGGGTCTTAGTACCGAACCCCAGCGTCAGTCCCTGGTGGCACTGGGAGTTTAGCCATGGACTCGGAGAGGGTGGAAGAGGGATTGCGTTATCTTTTTGTTGTGATGAACCAATGGCTTAAAAACTGCTGCTGCGAAGGCATCTTATCTCTCTGGCTAAGAAAGCAGATG